GTTGGGGGGGCTGGTGCCGGCTCCACTGTGGAAGGAAGAGAGGCTGGACAGGAAAACTGTCCCTGTCTCGAATGGGGGCAGGCCCCCCCCAACACAATAGAACCAGGCCTGGAGCTAAGAGCCCAGGGGACAGACACCACTTGGCACCCGAGCGCCCTGGGCCAACAGTCTTGGCCTCCTACCCTCCCCTGCCCCGAGTTTCCTCCGTTCATCTCCCCGACAAAGCAGAACGCGTCCTGATGGGACCGTTCGCGCTCCTCTCCGCACAGCTGTTCCCAAGGCTGCGTCCGATTCCCTGCCCGGCGCGCTGCCGCCGCACCAACCGGCCCCGTTCTCGCCATGCACCGGGGCTCCCTTTGCCTTGGCCAACTCCTCCGTTTCACACGGCTACCACTGGCCCGGCCACCCACCTGAAGGACGGGAGGCCGCCTCACCCGGCCACCTTGTCCAAGGCAGGACGGGGTGATAACGAGACCATCCCTAGCAGGTGTTTGTCTAACCTGCCCTGAAAACCCTCCAGTGCTGGGGGTTCTCCCATCTATTCCAGTGTCTCACCACCCTGACAGGAAGCTTTTCCTAATGTCAAACCTAAACCTGCCTTGCTGCAATTTAAGTTCTAAGAACATCACAACAGCCAGAGATGGTTCATCTGGTCCAGTGTCCTGATGCCCACAGTGGCCAATGCCAGGTGCCCCAGAGGGAGAGAACGGAACAGGGACTCACCAAGTGATCCCTCCCGTTGCCCAGCCTCTGGCAAAAAACCCAGGAGGTGTGTGGGTTACAGAACACAAGCCCCGACGGCGGCTCCCTCTGGGTGATATTAAATTGCCTTTATTACACGGATACAGAGTTCAGAACAGACATAACCTGAATCATAATGTTTACATCTTTCACAGGTCGAACATACAGTACATTTAGAGAAAGCAGGGAACCGCGAGGGGAGGGGCAGCATGCCAAAAAAAACTCCAAAAAACCCTCCTAGCACATCGTCACGTCTCTGGGACGGCCCCGAAAGCCCCACGCAGCAGGGAACAGGTCGGGAAGGGGAGCTGTTATGTCATGGGAACAAGTAAAGAACTTTTCTATATTCCCTTCCTCCCCACCACTCATGATTTTATAGACCTCTGTCCCGTCCCCCCTTAGGCTCCTCTTTTCTACACTGAGAAGTCCCAGGCTCTCGGGTTTAAAACGGCTCTCCTGTGAGGAGAGATGTTTTAAACCCAACCCATCAAAGCCGCAGCATGCGCCTCTTCCACCGCGGCACTGGGGCTGTGGGACGGTCTCTGCTCTGGGGAGGGTCCCGTTGTTCCGGCCAAGCCTTCTTTCCTTTTGCACCCCCAGGCCTCCTCCAGCGCGGGCGTGAAGCTACCCGAGCAGCACTTGCAGTGAACGTGAGCGCTTGTGATCACTTGCCTGCCCCACCCCTGCCAGAGGGCCGGCTGGGCTCCCTTTCCAGAGGGCTAACCCGAAGTTGTCAGGCCTGCCTGAGAAGCAGGGTGCTGAGAAACCAGCCCTACTGCCGAGAGCGCAGAGCAGGAGGGCAGAGGGCAGGCTACGAGCGGGCCC